TTATAGGATTTATAGAGGCACAGAGGCGGGCAGTCTCCAACTTATGAGCAGCTGTTTACACAGGCAAGATGTTGTTACCTCCCCAATTCAACTACTGCTTATAGTCCTAGTTTCGTAAAATTAATGTTACAGATTTTAAGGAATGGGCATATGTTATAGCCACTAGGGCTGGGGCCTCAGAGCCTCCAAGCTGAGACGGGAGCAGTGCTCATGGGGAGGAGGTGTTCCAGGAAAACAGAAAATACGCCAACACCGTCGGAACGTATCCGTCCAACACAAAATCTACCACACAACCGAAAAGCGCTACACACAATTCAGGCCACAATTCTTTTCCACCGCCTTCCACAGCTTTTCCCGCCCCCACTTCCGCTTCCGGGGAGGTGACTCCCGGACCCTCGGGGTCTGGGGGGCGGGAGCTAAAACGGAGCCGGAAGTAGCCCCAGCACTTCCGGTACGGGAAACTACTAGCTGCCGCCCGGACCCGGCTTGACAGGCGCGGTCCCTGCGAGTCTCTCTCTTTCTCTCCCTTCGCCTTCCTCGCCTCTAACCTTCAAATTCGCTTGCCGCTGCCGCCCCGCAACTGCTCTATCGGAAGTTGCCCCTTCCCCATGTTCCGGGGCAGGAGTCCTGAAAGCGAAGACCCGCCCGCCGGTACCCCATCATGTCCGAACTGACTAAAGAGCTGATGGAGCTGGTGTGGGGCACCAAGAGCAGCCCCGGTCTCTCTGATACCATCTTCTGCCGCTGGACGCAAGGTACCCTGGCTGGGCTCTGCTCTCGCTTCCAGCCGCCGCTTCCTTTGCCCTGCGGGAGTCTGGCGGTGGCGCCACTTGATCCAGCCCCTCGGGTGCCCCTCACTTTGTCCCAGTTGCCATTCTCAGCGCCAAAACCTGACTTTCTATAGACAGGCCCTGCCTGCCTTAGGGGGAGAGGTTGGGTAGGAGAATGGTTACAGCTGTGCCCTAGAGACCCGAAGCGCCTCTTCCACTCTCTGGGCTGCCCTTCTGCTGGGGAGAGAGGGAGGGCTGGCCCCTTGTTGGGCTACGGTGTGTGACACTGAAGACTTCTTATATAATTAAAATATAAGAAGTGACCTGGTGGCAGCTTCTCAAGGAGTGCCGTGGCTGTCTGGATCTGTACCCTCGCTCTGACAGAGCTTTATGTTACTGGTATATGGGCTGTTTTTGGAGAGAGGGATGTCCACGGAAGAGTCAGGGTGGCTAATTCCAGAAAGTAGTTTCGTTGTTTGTAGTGTAATTATGTGGTTAGGCGTGGTGCGCGGTATATAAACACAATATTGCTTGCTACAAAGTGTCCTCTTGGCTCAAAGTATCCTCGGTTTCGGGAGGGTTTAGTATCTGTTACAGTTAAAAAGGAATATGGATCACAGCACTTCCTGCTGGTCTAATGTAACTTAGACAAGATTTTTACTTACATAAGATTTATTAATAGTACAAGTAACAATTAAATAACTCGATTGAGTTCCTGTGCCGTGCCAGGATCTGTGCTGGGCGTCTTATACTGGTAATTATCCCTAATATTTAGGTTTTGATTAGTGAAACGCAAACAACAAATTTCTTAATGTGTCTTAAAGGTGACGGTGAGGTTAAGATCATAGCGTTTGGAGTCAGAAGATCAGTGATGTATGCAAAACACTATTACTATTAAAACATTTATTTAGAAAACCTGTTCCCAAAAGATTTGGGGAAATTGTGGCATAATAAATATAAATCCCTATTTCAAAATGTGTATTTTGTAACAAAAATTCAGGATTTAAGTAATCCCTTTTTCCTTCCCATATATGTCTGTGTTAAAAGCTGATAAAATTAGAATCCTGATATATTATGGTAAGTCAGGTTATTTAGTCCATCGCTATTGTTTTGCAGATGAGAAAAATGAGTCATAAAGGC